GAAGTGGAGTTGATTGTTTATTAATTAGAAAGCAAACCACGACTTTAAGTTAAGATAGAAGACCAATAATTTAACAAACAAAATTTAACTCTAGCATGTTTAACAGAAAAGAAACTGCATAAAAGAATTTATGCAAATACAATACACACGTGTGGCATTTGTGTAACCAGAACGAAGTAGTTTTTCATAGTAGGGGCTAAATAGAAACAGTCGTAAATTTTGAATTCCATTATTTGTGTCATTGAACAATCCAAAATGAGCAACAAAAACAACGTAGGACAAGTTACGAAACCAGTGTTTATATTAGCGATGCATAATAGCTGATAACACTATGTAATAATACAACAGTATTATACATTATTATGTCATATTTACTTCGGATTACTATTTTCTGCTACCTAGAACAACATCTTTTAAAAACAATATATTGGTTCGAATGAAAAAACGAACATTTAAATTATTTACATAAAAACAATAAAGTCATTGGTGAATCCAACGTCACCGCAATGCTACCGTTCAATTCGCTTACACGTAATTAAATTTAAACTTTCTAGTTATAATTTTGTTAAAACAAAGTCTTAAAAATCGGCTTCATTAAAAAATAACTTCATTTCTATTCGACTGTAATTATACGTAATTCTCCAAAAACATTTATTTTACATTAAATATAAATACAACTGCTTATAATCTAATAAATGAAATTTTATTTTATGAACACAAGTTATCTTATTTAACGAAAATCATCCGGGGCAGAGTTCTCTTGTGGACAAAAAAGAAGAAAGGGAATTACTGTTTCCAAACAGTTTTTGTTTATACCCTTAATAACATAATTATAAGACGTTTCGTCTCACTTATTAAGCTTCACATATTTTTTCGATACTACAAGACGTTTTGTCTCCATTACTAAGCCTTAGTGCAAATCTTCGCAGTGGCTTATATGCACGCTGGCCATCAAGTGGAATCGAACCCCGGATTTTAGCCATTATAAACTTAGCGCTGACCTACCGGGAGACATCATCTTTATAAAAATGGCTTTGAAAATAAATTACTATTGCTCCTAGTTGAAATAAATGACCTTTAGAGATTCAGAATGCTACTTATATTTTGTTTAATTGAAAATAAAAAACACACAACCTCACCATTTAAAACACATTTTAACTAAGCCACTTGTTGTTTTTTTTATTACTTATGAGAACTAGCGTTAATTTTATGTCATAAATTTTAAGGGATTTTCGAATTACATGTAGAAATTTACTGTCAAGACGTACCAACAAGATATACTTTAAAATATAATGTAATAGTGAAAATATAATATTCTCCATTTTTGTCATGAATGAAATAAATTGTTTTCGTCAAGTTATATGGTATCATTATCTCTAATGCCATATAATATATGCGTGTATATATACATCCTACTCCTAAGGGACATAGCAAAGAAAGTATTCTACGTACCTTTCAAGAATACAGTGACTTTTTCAGTTATCTGAGAAAAACCACTGGCTGTTGCTGTACAGTAGTATTCTCCCGCTGATTTTGTGGTCATGCTGGGAATCATTAAAATCTGCCCTGTTCCGAAAATTGCTGAGGAATGCTCAGATGTCCAGGTAATGTTAGGCTTTGGGTTGCTGTCAATGTCACAAGACAATATCACTCTGTCACCTATGTCTGCTTCGATATTATCCATTTTTCTTATGATTCTTGGGCCATCTAAACGTAACAGTGAATGTTAATGAAAGCGTATATTTTTTATAATTATACTGAAAATATTTATGGTTCATAAATACGACGGATAAATAAGATACGTTTTCTTAAATATTCATTTATTCCTCTTTAGAAATAGCAGTTTATTTTTGAAAATTAGAATAATAAAACAAAAACACTAAATTTAGTTCATTTTAAGTATTACGATGTGCTACGTACATGTGAGATATTCAAATGTTTGGGTTTATTTATCTTTCATAAATATGACGGATAAAATACGTTTCTTTAATATTCATTTATACCCCCCCTTTAGAAATAGCAGTTTATTTTTGAAAATTATAATAATAAAACAAAAACACTAAATTTAGCTCATTTTAAGTATTACGATGTGTTACATACATTTGACTGTACTAAGCTGATGATATTTATTAAATCTTCCTTTCTTTCCAAATCATGAATATTTATGTTACGAGGGAAGGTTTCATAGTAAATATAGTAAGAGTAGCTAATGAAGTTAATAGATATTACTCAGCCATCTGCGAAATGCACAGCTTAATCTATTGAAAATTCAGGAGAATCATTACAACTCATTTAATATTAGTGGATTCACATCGGACATTAACACTTTTACAAAAACATTACCTAACGTTACCGGTGGAAAAATCGGCGTATGAACAGTGAACACTACAAGGCTAGCTAGTTCCCTGTTATTGTTAAACGAATTATACCTACATCAACTCGTAATTAACTCGCTCATCGTGAACTCTCGATAATATATCAAGAAAGCTCCAGACTAGAAAGAAGACTTTATATTGTTTGTAAGTTTGTGAAACTTTTTGTTTATAAATCATTGTTTGTAATAACTATGATAAGATGATATTTATCTAGCACTTAAATCTATAGAAACTTTAATTAGTTTCATTTCTTGTACTTTATTATTCTAAAATATTACAGTAACAATACAACACCATAATAATGGCCAAATAACTAAATAAATAGCAAATAATGAAAAACTCCGGTAGTTTCGATAGGCCAAACTTGTCATTCTCATGGAACGGAGTAAAACTGTATTTCCTCTTCTGAAAATATTTTCTTATTGATTACTTCCTTATGGTTGATAACTGCATAAGTAATAATTTTAATAAAAAAAAAATAAACTAGATTCTTACTTTCAATTTAGCCTTATATTATGTTTAGTAGTTTTTAACAATTCCCTATCAAGAAAAGCATAAATTACGCTACTAATAAATTTTTTCAACATCTATATGCATCAGTGCGGGTTGTCCCTACGTTACATTTTGGAAATGGCGAGCCGAGTTCGAATCTGCGTGATACCCCAAAATATTTATTGCACTTTAAACTGTGTGTGCATTATAAGAGTGACAGTCAATCCTTTAGCATGGATGGAGTGTGGTAGAGTGCTGATGACTGGTTGCATTTTCTCTGGTTAGTATTTCAAAATTAGTAACGGCTGCAGAAACCTTTCGTAGTTTTTGCCAAAAATACTGAATGCACTATCATCATTCTTTTTTCAAGTTTATTTATCCGTAGAACAATCTGGAATATTTTCTTATGAACCACCTACGGATCAATTGCCGTCTGATTTACAACTTTACCAGTTGAAGGAAATAATGCAATTTATCATAACTAGAAATCCGAGACAGTTTATCATTAATGTGAATTACTATCGGATTATTTTTAATTACAAGAGCCTCAGCTGGTAATCCACACACTTTATTATTATTATTATCATAAAACCGACTTCACTGCTTTATTGCTTGACTTGTTTCTTAAATGAAATTTGCTGAAACTATTATTATTTGATGTCACCTAGTTCTGTGGTAAAAAAAAGAAACAGATTATATTGATCTTTTACTGCACTGTATAAACAAGCATGTCCCCCGATGGGTAAGCGGTAGGTTTACGGACTTACAATGGTAAAATCCGGGGTTCGATTCCCCACGATGGACAAAACACACATAACTAATTATGTAGTGTTGCACTTAAAAAAAGAAACAAGCTCATTATGAACGACACAAACTGAAAAGTAATTAAGTCCACTTTAGGAAAGGTATTAAGTGCTTCTTTTGGAAGACTATTTTATAGATCAAGATATACGATAATGTATCGTGCGGCCAAAACAACCCAAACTATTATATATTTTCAGTGGATATGCTCTCCTTGAATTTTATTTCACATAACAAATTTCAAGACAATCCAGTAAAAAATACACGAGATTTAAAGTCTCCAAATTTTGATTGAATTTTTCTCCTTTGGAAACTTTGTTTGATAGAAAAAAATACTTATCTTTTACGGATTTTTGTTCAAATTTCGTACACAGATAGATCGTTACAACCTAAATTAGATGTCAAATTTGGTCTAACTCTAAGCCATATGTGCAAAGTTATTCAACACAAACGTCTCGAATTTGACCAAACTTTTTGCGCACGTCTACGCAAAAAGTCACATGAGCTATCGATCAGAAATTTTTACTACAGCTTCACCTAAGAGAAAAAAATGGAGCGTTTTTAGTTTTTTGTCATTTGGATTATAGACGGCTGATTTAGAGCAGCAAAACTATAACCTCAAAGGACGTGCGGATACGTTAGTATTGGTTAGACCTAGCAAACTAGATTATCAGTTTCTAACTCAAGTTTTCAGAATAATCATACGGGTGAACGCTTATTATTCATTATTCATTGCCAACTTTTAAGCACAATTTTGCTAAATTTTATGGAATTCTCTTAATTAAAGCGCGTTTAGCATCACGTGATATTAGCTTAAGCAAATAGCGTAAATAATTATGCTTGATACGACTGTACCGAGTGCATGCGGAAGATGACAAGAAACTATTAATCTAGATTCCATGGCGTTACTATAAAGGAAGTTATTAACACTGTTTTAGAGAGAAAAAACTACCACCATATATTTTGAAGAATCTGGGTGGTTCTGTAAAGTAAAGGTCTGTTCCGAATAACAGGTTGTGATCCTAAAGCTAATGTGGGTTACTATCGAGTGTCACTTTCTTACTTGCTGTGATTTGTTGGTGTGTATTGGTTTTATCTACCATCACGCCCCAAGTTGAATAAAAAACGTAGCCTGGCCAATTAATGAATGAATATTTGTTGTAAAATTCTGAGCAATGCTATAAGCGTAGCTACTAGTTTGGCCGCAAACTTATATTTCATTTCTTTAAGTTGCACGCTCAATTCTTTTTTTGACTGCAATTTTTTTTTTACACCTGAAGTGTTTTTGATTAGATTTTTATACTAGTAGGATGTATCGCTTTATTCAATGTGTCATTGTTTCTAAAAAAACATCACAAATTTAATATGGTCTATGAACTTATGAAATTTTCTCAGCAGATATTTTAGTTGTTTCATCTTTATTAGGTGTTATGAATCGTGACATTCAAAATTTGTTGTGGAATTCATATCTTTTATCTATCAATACTTAATGACAGAAACACTTCTCACTTTTTGATAATATGTGCCAACAAGGCTGTATTCTAAAATTCAAGCAATGTAAAATTAAATCAAGAAACTGTTTACAGATTCTCATATCTTTAGAAATTGTGATTCAATATGTATCTTAGATGCAAACATTTAAATCATAGATCAATTAATTACTGCGACCTTCATAATATGAAAATCAAACTCATTAAAGAGTAGACAATATACTTACATAGGATATTCAAAGTATGTTTCACTCTCGTAGTTCCCACAACGTTACTCACTTCACAAATGATTATGTCTCCATTGTTAGCCCTTGTTACGTGGTTTAGTACAAAAACAGAGCTGTGACCGTTCAATATTCGCTTGCCATTTCTGAAAGAATAGCATAATAACAGAACATTCAAGACAGATTAGATGGTATATACACATTTGTCTGTAATTTGTAGTTATTGATCGATATGAGAAGCTCACAAAACGACAATATTGATCGATATGATAAGTTCACAAAAACGACAATATTGATCGATATGACAAGCTCACAAAAACGACAACATTGATCGATATGAGAAGTTCACAAAAACGACAATATCGATCGATATGAAAAGTTCACAAAAACGACAATATCAATCGATATGAGAAGTTTACAAAAACGACAATATTGATCGATATGAGAAGTTCACAAAAACGACAATATTGATCGATATAAGAAGTTCACAAAAACGACAATACATAAAACGGTATTCATTGTTAATATATATATATATATATATATAAGCGCGAATGTTCCTCTCTCTGTGGGCCTGTTTTTTTTTATGCACGACCACATCTTAAACTCCAAAATCCAAACAGGGGTACAGATACAACTTTGGGCGTAAGTAGCATGGGCTATATGGCCGCGGCCTCGGAGGCCGTTTTAAGGCCTCAAATTGAGGTCAAAGTGACCAATGTAGAATTTTTTTGGCAAACTGGACAACCAGTTGATCTGAAATTGAAAAGGGCGGATTTTTTTGGTAATGTATGATCAAGTTGGCTATTATTTACGTTTCTTCTTTGTGTGAGAACTTTTCCTAACCATTCTGTCCATGATCAGTTATGTGTTAAAACGAATCAAGAACTTCGTAGAGCCTTCATCTGTGCTCTTTCCCCCTTCTCTCTTTCTTCTATACATACATGCCTACTCTCTAACTCCTTTTAATTGAAAAAAGCTGGTGCTTTCTCTCGAACTTGTGCGCACACTCACTCAACTAAATAGCCTTACTTCAGCCATATCTTTTACTTTGCTTGCGTCTATTCGCAAGAATCAGCTATACGATGACTTTACAAAAACGTTTGGTATCAACAAATTTTCATTTACGCTGTGTTGCGACGAGAAGAAAAAAAATACATTCTTCATTAAATGGAATGATAATAAAGTCAGAATACGCTGCAAACGACACTTGATCGCACAGCAGAAATAAGGACGCCAGAAGGTAATGAATTTTGTTTTGGAAACTTAAAATGTCATGCAAAGCACGTGCAAGAAGCGTGTATTTGTATTTTTTTTCGCACCTTGCTATTTTTGTTGATTTTAGTTAGGTAAAGAAATAATTGTGATTTTTTTTTTGCAAAAAATCACAATTAATATGGTTCATTCAATCAAATCATCTTAAGATATTTAAAGCCATTTTCATCCGAGCAACACCTGGTACTCTGCTAGTATATACTAGTGTCAGTAGTACTGAAATATAATATGTTCGTAAGTACAATTGAGAACATTAAATAGTAAGTATTTTATTGTTTATTTGTTTGTAATTAAGCACAAAGCTACACAAATGGCTATCTGTGCTTTGGCCACCACGAGTATTGAAATCCGGATTCTAGCGTTCTAAATCCACAGACATACCGCTGTGTCACTGGGGGGCAAGTATTTTATTTATACTTTATATCTATAAGCCTGAAATAACCGCGCGCCACTATCAGCTACAAACCCTCCTCATCATTCACATTAACCCCGCTTAATTCTATAGCTACCTCAAGGTACTGAAAAAAAAAATCGTTAAGACACCCGCCCACACTACCTAGGCACGTGTACTAAGTTTGATCCCGCTAGACTGAGAATCTGTAGGAGGAGTTCATAGACAAACAAATTCACAAACACACAACATTCATTATTATAGGATCTATGTTACTACTGATTTAATTTTTGTTAACTTAATTTCGATAGCGACGTAGATGTACGATACCCATTAAGTTCAAATCGCATATCAGATATTATATAAACTAAACTATTCAGAATTTTAAACGTATTAAGTATGCATGGAATGTATTTACTGTTATTGGGTTTTTTTATGTTAATTTAATTCGAAAGAAACATTTAGGTGCACGCACACGATATAATGTGCTCTGATATAAATATACATTTCAGAAGCTGGACTTTCGGTGTACACATTACTATACTAAACAACTAAATGTGTAATTAGTTAAATATTAAGCAGAATTGTGGAGCTTTGTCCAATCTTTCTTAAGTTTTCTTACTAAATGAAGTTATTTCATAGTGACAAGAAAATGAAATATTTTCTATGTAACGCCAATTAAATATTTGAGCTCACTTCATACACTATTAACTTGTTCAGTCTAAAGTAATTTATCAACTCAAACTAGTTGACTATGAAATTAAGATATCTATTATTCTTGTGGAAGTAAACATACCAGTTGTTGACTCTCCAAGTTTCAAATAAATGAATTAATTTCAAGATTTCTTTGTGGTTTTATTGAATAATAATAATAATTTTCGTTTCAAGTGAAAGGTCTTAATAACCATACTCTATTCACACTAAGATTTTACTCTTTTCACACTTCTATCTATTCTTAGGATAGATAGGTTCGTTTGAATTTCACGCAAAGCTACACGAGGGCTATCTGCACTAGCCGTCCCTAATTTAGCAGTGAAAGACTAGAGGGAAGGCAGCTAGTCATCACCACCCACCGCCAACTCTTGGGTTTACTCTTTTACCAACGAATAGTGGGATTGACAGTTATAGTATAACGCCCCCACGGCAGGAGGAGCGAGGATGTTTGGTGGGACGGGTATTCGAACCGGCGACCCCCAGATTGCGAGTCAAGCGCCCTAACCACCAGGCCTGGATGAATAGTATTCCAATAGTTTCGTCAATGTTCAAGGTATATACATAATTCGGCTTTTTTTCTTAAAGAAATAAGTATATAACAGCAATAGAAACTATAGAACGTCGCCAGGATTCACCTTACCTGTACCAGTTATAGAAAATCTCTGGTGGATTAGCGTCGACCTCGCAAGTGAGTCGTACGTTGTCGTTCTCAAAAATTTTGGTACTGTGAACCAGGAGATTTAAGTTCGGGGCATCTGTAAGTAGATGAAAACAAGAGGTTGTTTGTAGTTAGGCACAAAGCTAGAAAATGAGCTGTCTGTGCTGCACTCGCCACGGGTGTCGAAACACAGTTTTTAGCGTTATAAGCCTTTAAACTTACCGCTAAGCCAAAAGAGAGCGAAAACAAAAGTAAAGAATTATGTGTGGTATAATTGAATATCAAAATATTGTCTTGTGTTTCTATCCTTTGACTGAATACTTCAGAAAAATGTGTTCTAGATAAAGATGAAACTCATTTACCAAAGTAGTAGCCCCCAGTGGCACAGCGGTATGTCTGCGGACTTACAACGCTAGAAACCGGGTTTCGATACCTGTGGTGGGAAGAGCACAGATAGCCCATTGTGTAGCTTTGTGCATAACTACAAACTAACCAAAGTAATGAATATAGAAATTTATCGTTATAATACAAGTGGCTTAATGCAAATTCCTGCAATGTTATTGTTCAATAGAAACAATTAATTCAACTGGAAAATCTCAATGTCAGTAACTGTTTTTGAAGAAATCAAGAATGAAAACAGTAGTTTTATTTTATATATATATATATCACACACATATGTATATAGAAACAGAAAGAGCGAAACTAAACATGTCTTAGTCAGCAAATATTCTACTAATTGGGAATTGAGCTAATATGACATACTATCTTACAATTATTCATTTTTGATAATTTTATCAAGCTAATATTATTGTTCGTGCTCAGAAATTTCATATAAAGCTACACTGTCGTCCCAAATTTGTGGCCTGGTGATTATGGCATTCGACTCGCAATCTGAGGGTCACGGGATGGAGTCTCGTCCCTGTGAGGGATTTATAATGTGACGATTAATTCTATTATTCGTTGGTAAAGAGTTGGAGGTGGGTGATATGAACTAACTGGCTTCCCTCTAGTCTATCACTTCCAAATTAGCCACAGCTAACGAAGATATCCCTCGAACAGCTTTAGGCAAAAGTCAAAAACAAAGAAACGTCCCTAACGTTTTATCTCATAAACTAGTGGGAGGCGAACTCTTGGGTTATTCTTGTTTTACTGAATAGAGACACTTGATAGTCGCCCTTGTAGCGCATCCAGGCTCTTAAGAGCAGAATGCATTTTTGTGCAATAGATCGCGAACAATATTCTGGAATTCAGAGTCCCAACACGTTTACCTCTAGGCCACGCCTCTCTTCTTTTCGCACTAAGCAAACTGTATCATCGTAAAATGACGAAGAACAAATGTCAAATAGTAAATTTATTTAACTAGACAAATTTAGTGAAGTTACTACTATATGAACTTTTAAAATATTCACGAACTTATTGAAAATAATTAAAAAGTTGTTGTTTTTCCTTTTTAATTTTATTTAACAATAAAAGTATAAATGAAACTTTTAAAATCTTACATTTCACATCGACAGTAATGGTCACTAGATCAGGTTGCTTAAGCGCCGAATTCTCAGAACTACAAGTAAAACTTTTCAAGTGGTGCCTCCTGTCGGGTACAAATGTCCAGGACAAGATGGCGATAGCTCTTTTTCCATCTGCCATCTGATTGATCTTATATTCCGTACCCTCTTCTACCACGTCTCCTTTTTCATCAATCCAGGCAAGCTATCAGAAATTATAAATAGTTCGTAGTTCGTTAATTATCCATATATCGCGGGAATATCTACAAATTGTAATAATACACTAATATTTTACTCTTAAGTCTTTTATTAACTTATTTTTGAAATGCGTATGCAAAGAATGTAACGGTAGAATTCACCTGGACGTCTATTTACACAGGATTTAGCCAGTCCGCAGTTATACTTATCATTATTCTTCAGATAAAATTAACCTATGTTTTCATATACGAGTTACATCTACATTATATTTTAATCTAAAAGGCTTATTTGTTTCATATATTCGCGAAAACCCACCCTATAACTACCTGCACTAGCCATCACTAAATTTGAAGTGATAGGTTAGAGAGAAGACAGCATTAACCGCTAATTCTTTGACTACTTTAATCTAATAATGACCGTTACTCTTACGATGCCCCCACGGCCCACTAAATTCCAACTCATATTCTAGCACGCTAACAACTGGGCTTCACCCATATCAATAATAAAAACGTGTTTGGATTTTATTACAATTGCATTTACAATATACATCAAATTGAGTGCAATGAATATTATTAATACAATAAGCCAACCTTTACTAAACAATTTACAAAATAATGTCGCTGCCATAAGAAAGTAAACCTCGATTTTTCACTTGTTGTAAAAAATCACATTTATATTACACTTAGGATAGGAAATGAGATTAAAATTCTTAACAGGGGTGTTGAATTTGTTTCTTGTTTTAGTTGAGATCAAGCTTTGCATCTGAGATAATATTTTATAGTGTTCTCAATACACTATTTTTATTCGATTTCTTTATAAAAGTTATTAAGACACCAAGGTGAGAGACCCAGCATGGCCAGGTGGTTAGGGCGCTCGACTCGCAATCTGCGGGTTCGAATCCCCGTTCCACCAAACATGCTCGCCCTTTCAGCCGTGGGGGCATTATAATGTAACGGTCAATCCCACTATTCGTTGGTAAAAGAGTAGTCCAAGAGTTGGCGGTAGGTGGTGACAACTAGCTGCCTTCCCTCTAGTCTTACACGGCTAAATCAAGGTCGGCTAGCGCAGATAGCCCTCGTGTAGCTTTGCGCGAAATCCATAACAAACAAACAAACCAAGGTGAGCATTTTTTCAGTACACATGGATTTAGTTTAACTGACACACTATCTTACACGGACTTAGCCCCCCAGTGGCACAGCGGAATGTTTGCGGACTTACAACGCTAGAATCCGGGTTTGGATACCCGTGGTGGATAGCGTACAGATAGCCCATTGTGTAGCTTTGTGCTTAATTACAAACAAACAAACATACATGGATTTGAAAATGTATACATAAAAACAAGTGTATAGAACAGTAGAAGCCAAGTTTTTGGATGAATTTCAGGAATAATAGCAGCACAAAATTATTGTTATTTTATTGAGGTGGTTTTTATTCCTTTCAAAATTTAGCATCACGAAGTTATTGGAACTGAATAATTCCAACCTCCGCTGCAGGACGACCTCCGTGGGCTTCACACGTCAACTTCACATTCATACCTGCAGTAGTCCTAAGATAAGCTCCTTGCAAGATGATTGGAGGCTCTGGGGGAACTGAAACACAAAATCGCATTCTATAGATAATAATCACTTTAAGTAAAGCATTATGATTTGATATGTACTCGTTATAAGGGAACGTAGATTAGTCTGTATAATACATAAGTTCGAGAAAGATAAAATTGTATCAGTTTTAACCTATTTTTTTAAAATCTCATTAAACAAATTGCCTTTAGAGCCCAATTTTAAGTTTTACACAAATTAACAGATCTTTGTATTTTATTCCCAAACTGTGATACAGCAGTGATTTTGACTGATGAATTTATTAGATTATATTGCAATGAACAAGTATACATCGTTCTTTACAACTAAATGAACACAGTTTATTGTGCCTATTATTTATTTCATCCAGAATTTGTATATCTTGGATATTTAATTGTTCTCAATATTTCAAGTACATTCTGTTTTTTTTTCTACCTTCACTTCATCATCTTATCCTTTATGTTTATGTAATATTGGCTGTAAATCGTTTTTTTTTCACCTTTGCACAAACGAGTTTGACGTGATGATTTTTAACGTATAAAACGTATATTTTAGTATCAATTCATTTACATTATGTATAGAGCGTATTTTCATTCCATAAAAATGATTTGTTAAGCGATGTTGACAAATTTTATAAATCACTTTTGTACAAAAAAAACTTCCCTTAATCATGTTCATTTTATACACATGACACGAGGGTTAAAAAAAACAACATCAAATTGTAAGTCTATGCTTAATACTATTATACAAACTATTTTGTTGAAAATATCTAAAGTCTTCAAGGGACCTACTTAGTCACATGACAACCGAATGAAGTAATGATAGAATAGGGAATGTTAATATTCAAATAAAATCTATCAAGCAATCTACGAAATAAGTGGTTAAAATGAATTATTGAACGCAACTCATATTGAATTTTATTTGATTTGCATTTTTGAGTTCAACTACTCCAGCTAGCTATTTAACGCTATTCACTACCTAGTAATAGATCGGAGATTCGTTTTATCGAAAGGTGTTTCTTGCTATTGTCATTTTGGAAGTTAACAAAACAATTATTCAGAGTTAACATTCCAGTGACCTGGAAATTGAATTCATTTTACAGCATTTACATTTAAATGAAGTGTCTGGCTCAGTAATTAACAATGGGCTAGATTCTCAGAACACTTTCGTAAGAGCGCTAAAACGTTGTCCTAGAATTAATACTTTCAGAACAGACTCTCTATCGAAATGCGAATTTAAATGACATAAGGTGGTTTAAATGAAACATTTCGCCACAAGATACCAGCGACCAGACAACAAGGCTAATGTTTAAAAGAATGATCGTTTTTTAATCCTTAGTAAACATTATGGAATATTTTTGTTAGTAAATAAACAAAAATAAGATGATAATCTCATCGCGAAGGTTATTACTGTAACTGTTCTTAACTTTATGCAAAAGAAACCAAAATATTTAGAGGTGTCAACGTCAAATACACAATGATATAACATTATTAGCTTTTATTACATTATAACAGAAAGTCGTTGTAAGATGAAAATTTACTTAAACAATGTTAGTATAATTTTAATATTCCCGAATGATTGACTTCAGTTGTTTGAGCTAAAGGATATACGTCCACAGCTTTGCTTAGGTAAACTACTTCCAGTACTTTTTTGTTGTTGTTGTTCCGTATTTCATTTGGTCTTAGTAACTTGAAATTATAATCTGGTAGTTTTCTTGCGTTCTAATTACCTTGTAGACTTCACTATATAAATCGAACGGTGATTAAAATTAACTCAAAGCAATTAGAAACACAGTTAATATATTAGTTGAAATATTAACATATTCTATAGGGTATTTGATTGGTAATAGTAAAATATCATTTCAAGGATTTATAATTGAAGAATTAAAAGTAAATTAAACATACAATAAATATATGATTTTGCATTCATAAGCTACTAAAAGTAAAAAAATAATGAATACTAAAATCATGCAACACCTTACCATTAGTTACTAAAAGTAAAAAATTAAATACTAAAATCATGCAACATCTTACCATGAGTTATTAAAAGTAAAAAATAAATACTAAAATCATGCAACATCTTACCATGAGTTACTAAAAGTAAAAAATTAAATACTAAAATCATGCAACATCTTACCATTAGTTACTAAAAGTAAAAATTAAATACTAAAATCATGCAACACCTTACCATTAGTTACTAAAAGTAAAAAACTTAAATACTAAAATCATACAACATCTTATTCATATTTCAGCCAGTCTCTGTATTAACAGATTATTTAGTGTAGTTTATGAGTATTATCCGTTTCAAGATTACGAACACTTGTTTTTACAGACTTTGAGGTAAACATGATTTTTACATATTCTATTAAAATAATTTACTGTCGCATTAGTTATCTTCATTAAAAGTAAACAACTAAATCCCTTCAGAATCGACGTTAATTTTTTCACCTCAAAACTCAGAAAACAAATTACAAAATGTATTTAGTACAAACAAATTATAACAGACAAACCGAACACTGTAACAACTGCTGTTGTTGATCGAATTCCCTTAATTCCTTCCACAGCTCCGACTTGACATTGAAATTCAGCATCATCGTCTAACTGTGCATTAGTAATTTGTAGAGAGTAATCATCTATATAAGTAGACGAAAAAAAATACAAAACTCATATCAACAGTACAACAATATAGTTTATCCGTACTAAACAGCTTATAAATGGAATAAGACACAAAAGCGTAAACATGTTACGACTTAGATACGTTAGTATGTATTAATATTTTCAATTATTGAATGAGCGGTTACAAAATTTAAACAATCGTTGCTGTAACATTTTTGTTTTATTTAGAGATGCAATTCTTTCGATGTGCTATCATAGCTAATTAAGTAGAAGTGTCAAACATGTATAACTTAAAATTATGTTAAATAACTTTGTTTTTATGAAAAATACGGTTATGATATACATTGTTCTACAAATACTTGAATAGTAAAATACGTATAATTATATTGTTGTATTAAGTAATATTTATGTCTCTTCCTTTTTAACAATTTTCGTCATTGCTATGGAGTGTTAATTTATCGCTAGATTTAGTTTACGTTTAATTGACATGAATCATTTCTCTTACCTTCTTCATCATTTCCTACCATAGTATACCGAGGAAAACCGATAAGCTCACGATCCGATCCGAGGCCGAATCCATCCCTCGTCCACTGGAGCATCCCTATTTTATTGTGAACACGACAAGGGAGAAGAATATCTTCTCCTAGGATGACTAATTTGTCTTTTGGTTCCCGTATAAATGTCTGTTTGATTAAACCTAAAGAACAGATGAGCATTTAAGAATTTAGTGTCAAAGGGATTGACCCCCGAAATAGATAACGATAAAGAAACAGGTTTTAAAGAATTAAAGTAAAAATTCATATTGGAGCGGGTACTGCTGTAATAATAATATTTCAAATTCTGTCCAAGCAGTTAAAGCTGTTTCTGCTATGTATAAGCTTGTAAAAAAGTAATATTTCAAATTCTGGCCAATCAGTTTAAGATATTTCTGCTATGTATAAGCTTGTACAAAAATTATCTTCTGTAGCGATATCTATCTCCACTTTACAATATAACATATATCACACATTCTGGGATGACACGCTTTCAACTTACAGCACATAGGGCTCCCAATCTACAGGTTGCAGGTTTGCATTCTTTTTTCAAACATCCTTGACCCTTTCAACAGTGAGGGGCGCTATAATGTAACCGTCAATCACACGTTCTGTTGGTTTTGACTAGCTGCCTTCTACTATATCACTTTAAAATTAGAATGAGCTATCGTAGATAACCCTCGAGTAATTGTGCGCGAAATTAAACAAAGAAACAATACGGTATGCAAATCATTCAGTATGTTCCACCAAGAATGTTGTTGACGTATCATTACAAAATTAGCATATGCGCGAAATTAAACAAAGAAAAATACGGTATGCAAGTTGTTCAGTATGTTTCACCAAGAATTTTGGTGACGTATAATTACTAAATTAGCATAAAGATATTGATTTATTTAGTTTTGTGGACCGGTATGGCCAGGTGGTTAGGGCGCTCGACTCGCAATCTGAGGGTCGCGGGTTCGAATCCCCGTCCCACCAAACATGCTCGCCCTTTCAGCCGTGGGGGTATTATAATGTAACAGTCAATCTCACTGTTCGTTGGTAAAAGAGTTGGCGGTAGGTGGTGACGACTAGCTGCCTTCCCTCTAGTCTTACACGGCTAGATTAAGGACGGCTAGCGCATGTAGCTTTGCGCAAAATTAAAAAAACAAACGAACAAAGAAACATGTTCTATTTATTCAGACTTCAGTGTAAGACTTTAAACATATACTTTCTCATAGATTGTCAATTAATTTTCAACATCAGTATAAATAAAGGTAAATAGTTAAAATCACATTATTTTTATTGTTATATTTATGTGTGAAAAATATTTTTACCAAAATCACGTAGAATGTTTTTATAATGGAATTATTCGTAGCAGCACAACAACGTGTCTTTGATATGACTGATGTCCTGTCTGTTAATGGTTTTATAGCCTTAACCCTTTATCATCCATGAAAGGGTTCTTTCCATTACCGTAATTGGCGAAAATGTACGGGTGGAAATGATAAAGGGTTAATGTAACGCCTCATAGAATGAATGTGCCATATACAGTGTGTCATTGAAGTAAGCCCTATAGATATAATTTGTGACTTTGTTCAACAACATGAAATTAGGAATTATGTTCCTACATGAGTATACGCCACGTGATCTTTCTAATAACCCTTTATTTATTAATCATCTTAAATAAGAATAGATATCATGCAATTCCAAAGTCAGATAAAGATAAAATATTGCTTTACAAAACTCACCAAAAACAGTGTAATTATGCAGATTCTAATGCAAAGTTTGCTCTCACTAAAAGTTTAAATGAAAGAAGAGCTGTTATTGAAGTTTTGTTAACAATTTCTCGTTGAGTTTTCAAAAATATAACGTTTGTATATTTGTTTTTAGTGATAAGTTATGCTATTACAAATCTGATGAAACAAAAGGAGATTCAATAATCGTCTCTTTCATCAGTGGATTTCCTTGCTGTAATAATAAATGGTAAAAATGATTTATAATCATTTTACACTCTGCCCAAGAGGATGAGGAACAACAAATCGTCTAACTCAATGATCCAAAGAATTGAATTATTAGCTACATCAAAATGGCACTTATAAAATACTCATCAGTTTCTTAAAATATTAAAGTTTTGGCTATTTTGTTTGAATGTCAAGTTTTGTTTCACCAATAGTTTTGCCCTCCTCCTCCAAGTGGCTCAGCGGATATACACGCTAGAAACTGGGTTTCGATACCTGTGGTGTGCAGAGCACAGATAGCCCATTGTGTAGCCTTGTGCTTAACTTGAAATAAACAAACACCAATAGTTTCCATTACCAGCATCTTAAGTGATTAAAAAAAACACATACACTAAGCTGTTCAAGAGAATGAGGAAAAGGGCTTTACCAATTATGTTAAATGTCCACGGAGCACTATAACTTCGTCCAAATTTGGTCTTTACAATGTAACTCGGTAAGACTGAACAGTTGTAACTCTCATTACAAGATCACGCGGTTTTGAAGACGTAATGAAGTTGCTTGCATTAGATCCACAGTTAATTATTAATGTCCATAATATAAGTTGTTTTATGAGATGTGGCTTGCAATTGTACGGTTATTTTCATTGTTTCGTGCTTTAACTCGAAAGATACAGCTATAAAAATTCGTTTTTCTCAGGTTTATTTGAACGTGAAAAGCTATGTAAGCATAGATGATTGTAAGATTTTAACGATTTTCAAATTATTTCATAAGATTATTAGTGATTTGTAGCATCGTTTTTATAGGTGCATATAATATATATCAATATTTTCGCCACTGAAAAAATGTCTAATCGCATAAACTTTCAATCTTCGTTTTAGAATCACCATTTTCATTTTTATTTTATATATGATACCCCAATATAAGATTATTTCAGTTCATTATAAACTTATTAGAAGTTCCTTACCAGAGTTGTAAAGGTGATTCAATAATGTACAGGTGGTTATTAGTCTGAATATTTGCTTATCGTAAGGCGAATAAGAAATGGAACAAAATGGCGTCTGTTTTACTCATCTCTAGTCTTTTCACATTCTTAAACACGTAACTTTGATTTGATTACAAAGGAATAATGCTATTTCGAAGTAGAATAATTACTTTCATAAAACGATTGTTCTTTGAACCTCATAAATCAACGTATTGTATTTAACGTAGCATGTGGAATATTTTACGCAATTACGCTTTTAATTAAGCCTTGTTTGGTGAAATACTCTGTAATTAAAGAAAAATTATATAACAGATTGGCATATCATAGTGATTTGATATTAAACAATAGGTTACGAATAAACTGGAATTTGAAAAGCAAATAAAGCCTATTTAAGGTTGTATATGTTTTACAAAAAAAAAATTGATATAAATACTTACCGTAAACGTTTATACGAACAATAACGCCGTTGAACTTAGTCCTTAAATGAAACCTAATATTGGTAAAAATATGTAAAAACAAATATTTTGACTAAATTATAGCAACTTAAAGGTTTGATGAAGTTATAATGTAATAATTAGTAATTCATGGCACTAAAATGGATTAAAAAACAACACTTTGTGTTTATTAAAAACAACGTTTTTCACAAATACTTTCTAGCCGACAACTAAGTAGTCTTATCGATCATGACAGTGAACAGCGGTTAGAGCAGTTAAATTAATACTGATAGACGATTCGCTCACGTACCTGATATATAACACGATCAAGTAGCAAAAACATCGCCGTCTAACTATCTGGTCTTATTAGTTGCTCGATTTTCTCTTGAATTCCCCACAACACGGTGTAATTTCTTATGATTTATATGTGGTTTCGCGACAGCACACTTTATTACAGAAGAATAGCAGTGTACACTAAAATCAAAAACGCTAAAAGGTCTGTTAAGTTAACGCTGCTGCAAATGAAAAGATTGCAAGGAAAACGAGTATAAGCTATTTGTTTTTCTACCTTTTCATCTGTAAAAACAAACATCTTAGCAAACTGGTTTGTTCAAATAAGTTCTATTTAAATACGTCGCTTTATTGTAATTAACTTTGTATAATTAAATCATTTTAAAGTTAGAAAGTCTGCAACGAAGAATAAAACAAAACATAACGAATTCATTTGTCTCTACAATGATCTATTTTATTTCATTTTTTGTAGTATCGTATCTCAGATAATAATGCTATAAACGGCAGTTATTTTAGCTGAACTTTTTCCATTTAATGTTAATTAAAAGATATTCACAGAACATGCTTTATCAAACTATTTAGTTACATGAACATGTAAAAATTTAAACATTATGGTTAATTAGTTTGTTTGACTTAATTTTGACAAATCTTTTACATTTTAAGCTGGATGGGACTGCACGAAAACGAAATGTTCTACAAACACAAAAGGTCTAATTAACTCTCACATTTCTTGAGTACACCCGTGATTATTAGATTAAACATTAAACTCCAATAAGTTTAACTAGAACTGTGGTAATTAGTTTAATATGCAATCTCATTATCTTGATTAGAGGATAGAAATTTTAAAAAAATCATGACCTATGACAAACTAAGCGTGCAGTGTTTGATACCTATACGTAATGTCATGAACATTAAAAATGCTAAAATTTGTTGGTTCATGTAAACCATCCACACTTAAGATGTACTACCAGTAATAAGTTGTGCAACCATCAACAAAAATTTTGGAAATACTAAATCTTAATTTTATCAAAGTTCTTACACAACTGAAGAATTCTGTCTCATTTTATATTCAAGTACGTTCAAATGAGTAGTAAATTGAAAATATAATGTAGGTCAGTCCAAGTTATGATTTACTTCTTAAATGCTGCTCTCGTTAATTGTTTTATCGAATTAGTTAGATTAGGGCTTGTTTTCATTTTCATTTATTTAGAATAGACTGTTTTACTCATCAAAGCTGTAGTATATATATATATATGTATATTTCTCTATACATATGTACTTACCTATCTATATATATATAATATATACCAAGCAACTATCGTACAACGTGAACTAAAATTTAAGAAATTATATTTAACAAAGTATATATATTCTGAGTTTACTTGCGTAACTTATTTGTATAATGGAGCAGTATATATGTGTGTGTGTGTGTGTGTGTAGAACATTAATTAATAGGGTTAGGATTAGTAAAATTAATGGTCTAATACACATCTTCTGGTTCACTCATATGGCACTGATCACAATCACAGATGAATGTGAGATAAGTTTCATCAAAGCAATACCCAAGATTATGATGTCTAAATTTCGAAAGTAACGTTTTCATAAAACCTTCTAAGTTTGACATGGCCTGATGGTTAGGGCTCTCGACTCGCAAACTGCGAGTCGCGAGATCGAATTTTCGTCACTGAACATGCTCACCCTTTCAGCTGTGAGGGCGTTATAATGTGTACGGTCAATCACACTATTCATTGTTAAAGAGTAGCCCAACAGTTGGTGGTGGATAATGTTGACTATCTGCTTTCCCTCTAGTCTATCACTTCAAAATTATAGTAAAGAGTAGCCCAACAGTTGGTGGTGGATAATGTTGACTATCTGCTTTCCCTCTAGTCTATCACTTATGGAGAAGTAGCGCAACCTGTCCTTGGATAGCTTTGCGAGAAATTCAACAAAAAATGTAAAACCTATTAAGGAGCATAATTGGACTACACACATAAGAACTGACATTAGCTATATGTGTTTCACTGATCTGGGAAAAATATTTTTGTTAGAGTATATCAGATTAGCTTTGACTTACGTAAGCGTAAAATAAAAGTACCTGTTGGCTAATCTCAAATATTAAATTAGTAGTATGGGTTATATTATTCATATTATAAACAAGAGTAATTACCAATTTGGTGTAAGAGAACAATAACATTAAGGAACACATCATTTTACCAGAGCCTTCCGTTGATATGCTCGTGATATAAGACATATACTGATGCCAAAGTCGTTTACCGCCATTAAATGTTTATTCCCACCCTTACTATGTTTTATTCTGTCATGTTTGTATTTCATTAACTATCTCTTTTTATTTTGTGACAGTATTTTATTAGGCCATTAACAGCCTATTAAGAACCTATACAAATTATCCTGTTGTGTGGAGATTTCTCATGGTGCACTGATTTTACCCATGCTTTTTATTTTGTGAGGATACCTCAAACACTTGGTTTTAGTAGTATGTCTAAATATCCGTGACACGACGAATATTACGAAACGTGAGCCCCAACCTGAGAAAAGGGGTGTCTTGATATCAACTTTGTACATCTTGGATGACGTTAGTTAGAAGAATAATAGTGTTTCAGAAATTTTGCATCATTCTATATTATAAAAAGTCTGTCTAATTATATATTAAAATATTTCACTATATAACATAAGTGCTAAATTAAGCAAGTATAATATTTATTTAATATGTATGTTGATAAATGTAGTAAAAGTAAAAGGAATTAAATCTTTTAATAGTAAATTGTTTTACACTTTCAATGAAAATTAAGAATCACAGCATAGCCCAAAATACCTTATTGTGCTTTACATCGTATCCTTTAATTATTTGAAAGTTTCTAAAATCTTAATTTACACCATAAACGGTGAGAGTCATTTTCTTACTTTAAGTTATTTTAAACATTTCTTAATTATATATATACGAATATAGTAAAGTTTATAATATCTCTCAAGCCAAATAGTTGAATAATGATATGAATATTTTAATATCATACAAATTATAAGGCAAAATGTATGTTGCGTGGATAAAGCGAGCATTTGGCCATCACATCAAACGGTCCTTCATTTTCCCTTGAGAATGCTGTTAGCTGCGAGACGGGAACGCAAGTGCAGTCGAGCAACATGTAACAGCGCTGTTAATGATATATATATATCTTAGTTGCTACCGACCTGCTACTGTCAACGTGATGCCTTTCATAATATAACAATTCATCAATCACCCATCTCTTCGCACCACTGCTTTCCTTTAATATGATTCAACCGCTTCTGGTTTACAGCTCGCTGCATTGATGTTGAAAAGTTGAGCTTAGGGTGGTTGTTTAATAAGCTTCAATGGTCGTGTGTTGTAATGTATGTTGTTTGTTTTTTCTGTCAACTTTTGAGCTTACTCTATTTATCAAGGCTGTTTGGATGCCTGAAAGTTTAAGATGTATATAACACAACAGGAAATTAGAAAAGGGTTTTAATCTGTTTTGCCTCTAGACATACAATGTCCTTAAGTTAAAAAAAACAAAACAATTTATCCAGGTCACTTTTGGGTTCTTAAACGTTATGCATATCTTAATAAAACTGTCCATGTTTATCAAATTTAAGAATATATTTTAATACGGTATTTTTCGACATTCTAGATACATCCAGATGTTATAACTATTAAAAAAGGTATAACTGATCAAAGTGTATATGACTGAATAATTATATCGTAATATTACAAGGTGAAAGTTTTATTTTTCACCAATGATCAAAGGATTGTGCCTTTCAGAAACGTTAAACAAAAACATCTCTGACCGGTTTCTCTTTCCAATTCAATAGGAACGAGTTTTCGTTTTGTTGATTCTTTATTATTAAATTGACACGTATTTAAGATTGAAAACTAACTCAGTGGATTCGGTAACGGCTCGTTTAGCCTTGAAGAATTAGTTAGAAATGGTTCACACTGATTAATCCAAATAATTCAACCTTTATGATCAGCCGTTATTCGATTGCTTCATTATGACACTTATTATTGATCTCATTGACTTTCATACTTCATAAGTATTTATGTTGATAACGATCTCATCTTCAGAGAGATTTGTGAATATTATTGTATAATGTTTAACGTGAGCAATGTAAACGCACCGTTATTCATAAGCTTCAACCAACAACAACAACAAAAATAGGAAGTAGATGAATTTTATCTACAAGGAAGATACAAAATAAAACTATGGACAATACATTTCCAAAATATCATTCTCTTCATTGAAACGCACGTGTCTATAATCCTACTTTTAATAAGTTCTAAAATTGCATGTTTCTATACGCTTACGTAGGTAACGAATAATCGTTAGAAAATATGAAATGTGACAGTATTATTTAAGATGGCAAAAACGTTTACTGACCAAAAATTTATCTCTTCATTTGACAGTTATCTATTTAAATTACTGATACTTGTATAGAGCATTTAACTTGAATATATTTCACAAAAATGAACAAAACACTCAACATTATGTTTACTAAAACAAATCCACTGATATAAAATAATTTGTTTCGGTACCAGGTATAAGCTGAATTAGATATTCGAATTGTTACTCTAAAAGAAATATATAAGGTAAGAATATTGAAGTTATAAGTAGCAAAATAGCAATGGAAGAAAAAATGTACTTTATTCATTAATAATTAATATAGTACATAATAAATAATATCTGAAAAGTCCACAGGTGAATGAGCAATCAGAATATAAAGTTATAACGCTACAATCCGGGATTCGATTCCCAGCGGTAAATAGAGCACAGATAGCCTATTGTGTACCTTTGTGCCGAAACAAATAAACAAATCTCTTTCAAAAAAACAGTCACTCGGTGGGTGAACGCTAAGTTTGCGGACTTACAATTCTAAAATCCGTGGCCCAATTCCCTGCGATGGGTCCCCCGGTAGATCAGCGGTAAGTCTTCGGATTTACAATGCTACAATCAGGGGTTCGATTCTCCTCGGCGTACACAGCACACAGCCCGCTGTGGCTTGGCTATAAGAAAACACACACACACCCTGCGATAGACAGGGCGTAGATAACCTATTGTGTAAAGGTTTGCGTTATACTTTGACAGTCACTGTGTATGATTATATACTCATTATACATACCTATTCATTTCATACGAGTTTTTTTTTTTTTAAAGACACATTTAGTATGAATTACATTTGCCAGACATTCTAATAAACCATATATACATATGTCTGTTTAACTGGGCTAATTCTAAGCTATACTAGTATAACAAACTTTACCTTCGCCTCGTTCAACAAGATCAGGGATCAAAAGCATGAAGACGCTGACTTGAATACCAATGAAGAAAGTCATTTTAACTGTTTTCTTCCCGGTTAAAGTTGCAGTTCAACAGTGGATATAAAATCTAAAAAAAAAAAAGAGAGAGTAAATTGAGCTATTAATTTTTATTTTATTTTGTATGTATATTAGTAATCATAGTTCGAAAAAAAACATAGTGTAAACATGTGTTGCACAATTGTTTTATATAAAAAAAGAGATAAAGAATCTCCAGTAAAGCTAAGTTAAAACTATTTCAATATTAAATTCTAAACAAACAATCTTCATTCTTTCGATTTATTATGACCTTCTTGCAAGCGTACGTGGACTGTGGATCTGATGATGATGTATGGTTCACCACCAGTTGCAGCAAAAACACGTTTCACACTTTAGGAGCCATTACTGTGTTATAAGAATAACGGTCAAATCCAACTATTCAATTAGACAAAAGTAGCTTAAGAGTTGGTAGCGAGTACTATTAGCTACCTGGTGTTTAGACTAGTCGACAGTTCCATGAAAGAACTAATTAGAAAGGTTATGCGTAGATGAGCTCCTCTGTAGCTTTACGTAAAATTCTGAAACAAAGAATCTATCAATCCCACTTGTTGAGTACGATACATTAAAACCACGTCGTTAC